TTAACTTGCAAAGTAACGAATATTTATTTATAATTTTTTAAAAAAGTAAAAACGATAAGGAAATTTGAAAAATGTTACAACATACGTCAAAAGTAGCGACTATAAACTTCATAAAACCTATGAGCCATAGAACGATATAGATTATTAGGTGTTCTGTTCCTAGACAATTTTTTAAAAAATATTTGAATATGGATATTGTTTTATATCTACATTGGGAAAAATCAAAAATGTGATATTTTTGTGTTACAACGTCATTATATAAATATATACTACACATATATACATACATATATACACACTTACACATTTACGGGACAACGAAATGGGAAAATATGTACTCCCAGTTTAAAACGATTCGGAAAGAGTCCAGGACAAAATTTTGTTGTCCCTAACAAAACGAGACATTATAGAGATGGGACCGGGATATTTCAGGTCGGGACAATGGTTTCAAGATTTTTGCCCACCCTACCCAATTCTGAGGACTTTTTAGGCATTGTGAAAATTTCTTTTTGTATAAGACTCTTTTAAGATATTTCAATTTTCCATTTCATTTTTCCATATTTTCATTTTATTTTTTTATTTTTGATTTTCTTTCTGAACTTTCCAAAAACATTATTCTAGAAAAAATTAAAATGTTTAATTTGAGATAGATGGAGTATATATTAATTTTTTGGAGTATATGCTATTTGACCTTAATAGCATTGTACTCGTATTTTGGAGATAAAAAATGAAGTTCCTATGTTGTTAAAACGGGATAATAACTTCCAATTTCTTTTTAATTTTTATCTATTTCAAAATGATTCTTGTATTTAAAGAAATGGTAAACTATTTTTTATGGTGTATAGATTTTGACTTTTTATAAATCAACTACAATGCATACATGTTCATATTTATTAATTTTATATTAAAAGTGGTTTAAAAAGAGTAAATTCCCTAAATAATCCTTTATAACTAGGTATTTTCTATATTTAGTTCATATTTATCAAATATTATATTTACGGCCCTTATTAATTGAATTCTATTCCACGTTTAGTCCTTGTCTAACGGTACGAAGATGGAAAAATAGACGGAGAACCAAAAATGAAATAGTATTCAATTAATAAAGATCGTCAATATAATATTTGATAAATATAGACTAAATATGAAAAATCCCCCGTTATAAAAGATTATTTAAGGAATTTACTCTAAAAAAATTCTTCTCTAAGAAAAGGTCTCTTAGTCCAAAGTTATTATTGAACTAGGATCCATTTTTGGGCCAGATCGCATATTTCCTGATCTGGATCCAACCGTATATTAGTCTGCAATATAGCATATGTCATATGCTGAATAGTTCTGGGCTTATTATCCGGGCTGATACTCTCCACAAAGTATTAGTAGGATTTTGGTCTTTGGCATGAATTACATTATGATTTTGTTAGAAAAAGAACTCCTCCCTTCCACTAGCTTAAATTTCATGAAGTATTTTAGTTTTCATAGAAAAATATTATATCCCCCCCAAAAAAGAGCAAATTTCCATGGTTTGTTAAGAATTTTTTTATATTATATTGATACATAGGGGCTGTTTGTTTCAGCCTCTTAATGGTTCAGATGTTTGAATGGTTCAGCATTTAATGGTTCAGATGTCTGAATGGTTAAGTATTATACAGCAGAGTCTGAATGGTTAAGACCTCTTATCTGAATTAATCAGACATTTGCCTCTGAATAGTTAAGCAATATACTAGCTCTTAATGATTCAGAGCTCTTACTGGTTCAGCACTTGATAATTCAGACCTCTTACTGGTTCAGCACTTACCTATTTAGAAGTTGCCAAATAGCCCTATAGTTGGGGGCGAGGGAAGGGAGTGTGGGGTGGAAATTGAAATTAGGGTAATCAAGGAATGAGTAAGAAAATTAACCCCGTCAAAATCAAACGGAATTCATTTTCCCTTATTTAGTAGAAAATATTTTTTTCTCAAAAAAACGTTCCGACGTTACTTGACTACTTGTTACCAAGAATAGAAAATTTAAATTGAAATTTTTGAGAAAAATAGTTTCCCCTAACCAAACGGACTCTAAAAAACAAAAACTCGAATCTTATTTGATTAGTAAGAGAATTGATGGTGATGGTGATACTGATAAAATTATTTTCAATGACTTTTATTTAGAAAATAAATACTACTATTTCCTACACGACAAATTGAGTATAAACAATTTTTCAAACACGTGGCATGGACATATTTTATCAACTTTATTTACTCAAAAATGAATTTAAACTACCCTTTATTTATTTGGATACCAGGTATTGGTGTTTCCGTCTCTAAAAGATATTCCTATTTCATTTTTTTTATTTTCAAAATTTTAGTAATTTTTTTTTATTCCTAAAAAGGTTTTTTATTACTCCCTCCGTCTCAAAAAATTTGTTACGTTTAGAAAAAACTGCGTCCCGTAAAGTCCGTTACATTTCTATTAAAAAACCACTTTTACCCCTTACTTTTTCATACCCTACCTATCACATCAAACCTTTTTTCTAATAATCTACTCATCACATCCTACTTTTACCCATCACATCAAGGGTATTTTTGGAAAGTCAATACCAAAATATACCTCCCCTAATTTTCCAAAAAGTCAAACCGTCCCATTCTTTTTGGGACGGAGGGAGTATTATTTTTTCAGTCAAAAATTGTGTGATTCCTCACCACAAAACCTAACAGTATATTCTCACTTTGATGAATAGTGATAAATATAATGGACTATTGGCCAAACGAGAAATCATATACAGTATTTCAGGGGGAGGGACTAGGGTGGTTTCCCTCATACGGAAAAAAAAGGAAAATATATTTCCTAAAGTGGAACATTAAATTCCCCAGAAGGACAATCACACATATTACATGCGAAACCCAAAAAAATTAAAAAAAAAAATCAGAACTGACGATTTGTCAGTAAAGTTGGCCCGGGTGAAACCGCATGTACTACATGCGAGAAACCTTTTTTTTTTCAGTTTGCATGTGCCACCTTTTTCACTCCACCACGGCACCCTTCATTAAAACCCCCCTTTTCCACTACTTTTCCACCCCACCTTTTCCACTCCACCACACATTACAACCACTCCCATCCCAACCATTTAACTTCACTCACCCCTTCATCTTCTTAATTCACTCACATTTTTCTTTATTTAAACTACTCCTTCACCCACTACTTTAATCACTCTTCAAATTTAACTTATCCTCACACTACTCCATTACATTCAACATTTCTCACGTATTTTTTTTATTACTTATATTTCAGTTAACTTTAAAATATTAATAATATTGATTATAAATGTTAAGTTTTTATTAGTTTTCATTTTTATTTCATTATAGATTATGTTTATATATTATCAACTATGTGCTCCATAATATTTTGAATTTTTTATAAAAATGTAGGAACATTTTTTGTTCTAAATTATGTGTTTTAATGAATATATTTTTTAAAATAGTGTTTACATGAATATATTTTTTACGAACTTATTAAGATATTTTATCTTCTTAATTATTTCTCATATAATTTTATTCAAACCACCCCTTCACCCACCACTTTACACACTCTTCAAATTTAATCTATTCTTACACTACTACATACTCCCTCCGTCCAAATTAGGTTTACATGAATTTTTTATAAATTTTTTTAGATAGTGTTTACATGAATATATATATTTTTTTCGAAATAGATATGTTTTGTATGCACTAATATTAAGAATAAAAAAATATCTTTTTATTATTTAATTTTTGTAGTGCAAAAATGGATGACATGGAAAGAGAAAGAGAGATGGAGAGAGAGATAGCGGGCCCTAGAATAGATGACATGTTACATTTACAGAATACTCATCGTTCTAGTCGGGTGTGGAAACTTAAGGATTTTTGCGACAATAAACTAGTTTCAGTTAGATATCATAGTCGCATCCCTACTGTTTTTCATGACCCCAGGGTTCTCCAAAATTTACGGAGGGCTGGATTTTATGGGGTACACCGTGTGCACCCAATTAGATTTGATCATGGTTTAATAACTGCTCTCATTGAGCGGTGGAGACCGGAGGTGCATGCTTTTCATTTCCCTTTTGGAGAGATGGGTATCACTTTACAGGATGTAGAGTGTCTATTGGGTCTCCCCGTTAACGGATTTGCATTTCTTGGGTTGAGACGCACCGTAGAAGAGAGAGACCATGATTTTTTGCATGCTCTGAACTGGACACTTCTTGATGAACATCTGGGTCGTCTTGACCGATTTAAGATCAAAGAATTGTTTCCACGAAATCCTGAACAACAAGTTCAACCAAATGCTGGATGGACAAATCGAAAGGTGGAGCAATACACAGCTCGGGTCATCTATGGGTATTTGGCTGGTCTTTTGTTTCCAGACTCATCTGGCCGCTTTGCACCTACAGATTTTGTATCATATCTGGGAGATTTTGACACGATTGCGAATTTTAGTTGGGGTTCAGCTGTACTTGCAAGATTATTTAGTGGTTTATGTCGGGCCTCCCTTAGAGTGAATAATGCCCGTCCATGTGGATGTATGCTACTTCTCCAACTCTGGGCTTGGGCACGAATCACAACTATTTGTCCGGATGTGCACTCTCTTCCCCGACACCGGCATGATGATTATGTACCTGGGAGTGACCCACATGGTGCCAGGTCTTTTTATTTCTTCTATCTTTTAATACTTCCAAACTTTTTATTAAAATTTATTAATATGAAATTTTGAAATATTTCTTTTTAGGTGGAGGATGTCTAAGGAATACTCTCGTACCGCACGACAAAATGTGCGGTATTTTAGAGACCAATTTGATGGGCTTTTGGAGCGTCACGTATGTCTCATTTTTTGGAAATTATATTTTTTGTTTTTTGTTTATTATGTTCTTTCTTAGAAATGAAATTCTACTATCTGACATTAGATTTTTATAGATCCTTTGGCAACCGTATAATGTACAAGTCTTGCCAGAGTATTGTAGTAGAGGTATTGCGTTATGGTCATTCCAGGGCTACCTTTTGTACCGAAGTTATATAGAGCCGGTGATGCCATTGCGTTTTGCAAGACAATTTGGTAGACTACAAGAGGTGCCGGATCTTCCATACGCATATGTACCTAGTCACCATAAGAGCAGTGGGACACTAAGCATGAACATTGTCAATGAATGTGCACGGTTGTGGAATGAAAATCGATTTTTATTTGTTGCCATTAACCACATGACAGAAGTTACTGAACAAAACAATGTTGGTGAAAATCTCGGGATGGGTTATCGAGATTGGTTTGCAGCACGCGGACGGAGTCTAATACGAAATCCTGCCCACCATCACAATGAAGGCACTGAGAGCTCCGCAGCTGCTCTAGCTATTGCGGTTTGCTAGCTTATATTTATTCTTTTAAATAAACAATACTCCTTAATATATTTACTGAAAAATGAATTTACTCAAAAATACTGATAAACAATACTCCTTAATATATTTATTCTTCAATATCAACTTTATTTACTCAAAAATGAATTTAAACTACCCTTTATTTATTTGGATACCAGGTATTGGTGTTTCCGTCTCTAAAAGATATTCCAATTTCATTTTTTTTATTTTCAAAATTTTAGTAATTTTTTTTTATTCCTAAAACGGTTTTTTATTACTCCCTCCGTCTCAAAAAATTTGTTACGTTTAGAAAAAACTGCGTCTCGTAAAGTCCGTTACATTTCTATTAAAAAACCACTTTTACCCCTTACTTTTTCATACCCTACCTATCACATCAAACCTTTTTCTAATAATCTAATCATCACATCCTACTTTTACCCATCACATCAAGGGTATTTTTGGAAAGTCAATACCAAAATATACCTCCCTTAATTTTCCAAAAAGTCAAACCGTCCCATTCTTTTTGGGACGGAGGAAGTATTATTTTTTCAGTCAAAAATTGTGTGATTCCTCACCACAAAACCTAACAGTATATTCTCACTTTGATGAATAGTGATAAATATAATGGACTATTGGCCAAACGAGAAATCATATACAGTATTTCAGGGGGGAGGGACTATTACGGTACTTCTTTTCATTCGGAATAATGTCTGACAGTTGAATTGAAAGTTCCCTTTTCTTTTATTTTTTATTTTTTTTTTTGTTGTTGTTTGTGTGTGAGTTTAACCGGTAAAAGAAATCAAAATTGAAGTGTTAGCATGACGTATATACCTTGGCCCAATGCTCCAAACATTCTTTGGACCAAGAGACCACTGAAACAGACTTTTCAGCCCAAATGTTAACTGACTTCTCCTCATTTTGCGCGACTTCTTCAAGCCCTGTTTAGTCGAAATTATTCTAACCATATTTGGTTGCTGTTCTTGGAAAAATTGATTTCCAATTTTTTAAAACTCTTTCTAATAGGGCTTTAAAACCAGAGTCTATACATAGTATATAGGTATACTCTTCTTTGGATGTTCAAAAATATATTTGTCACTTCATTTTCTTTTTTTACGTAATGGGCATGTAGCTTACAAGATTTTTCACTAATATAAATACTTCTACCGTCTCGGTTTTAATTACAATTTTACAATTACGAGGCAAAACCCATATTTTGTTAGTTCATTTTATTTATTAAGAGTTGATACAAGAATAAAAAATAAAATTTATATATTTAAAAAACTATATCAAAATTTCTTCAAAACAAAAGGTGAAAAGAATATTTTATTTTATCAAATAATCATTCAAAATACACAAATGAACAAAAATTATCGAGATGAGAGATAAAAAAATTTGCAATCAATTGTGGGATGGGGGAATATATTCTTATCATACAGTTTTAATTTTTCAATATTTTTCTCAGATTTTATAGAATCCAAAATAGTTTTTTATTTAATGGAAAAAGTTTAACTAAAGCTGAATAATTAATTAACGGCTTGAATACATGAGGAGTGATAGTAATCATCATGATAATAATTGCTACTAGATGGAGACATGGAGTAATTAATTAGAAGACATTTTTTTTATAACATAAATTTAACCAAAAAAAAAGGCGACTGATGATTGTATCGTAATAAAGACAGAAGGGAGTGAATTTTAAAAGTCTTGTGTTATTATTATAACAAATTATTAATTGAATGAATCTATTTGATGAAGGGACTAAAATAAAAATAAAAAAAATAGTCAAAGTCGGGGAAATTGTGAGGTTGTGAGTGAGATAGGAATGGGCGATCCAATAAGAGGGACATGTTTCCACTAAAGTGTGCCATTGGCTAATAGTGCTATATATATATAATATAATAATGATAATAATAATAATAATATGATGATCAAATATATATATATATGTATATGCATATATAAATATATATAGAGAGTGGGATCGATAGAGATATATATATGTGAAAGCTAATAAGGTATGTAAGAGTGGGGCCCAAATGAAGTCATCTCGTACAAATACAAATGAGGGTCCTAGGATATGGTCGAACCATAGGTGAATCCCATGCAGCAGCCCTAAAATCGAAGGGCTCAACTACCCTTCACGTGGTCACAGTGATCACCTTCACGTGTCCACGAGTCCCCACACCCTTCCCATTGTCAACCAGTTTAAGAGGAGGGGGGCATGGATCATGGTAATGGCCTATTAGTGTCTCTCTAAGCTTCAATAATACACTCCACAACTAATTATCATTCACCATATACATCCATCTCTCTCTCTCTCTCTCTTATTATCATGCATGCTTTATATAAATATAAAAAAAGAAAAAGAAAAATCTGAATCAGAAAACTCGTTCAGGCATGCACTATATATTGTCCTGAATGATAACAATAATACTAGCCTCTTGTGGTTCCTTGTACAACTTTTTTTTGTTTTTATTATTATTTTTACTGGTCTGCAAGTAATTAAAACTCATTGTTTTGTTTGCTAGCCATGACTTCACCAGCTACCAGCTGCCATCTACGTGTGCGAATGGGAGTTATAGTGTGGCCTTATTCTATTATAATGTATGCCTCATTGAATTGAACCATCACCAGTTCAACACCATATCCATACATGCTGTATTTGTTTTTAGCTAAAAACAAACCAACTCAATCAAAAGCTCTAGTTTGTGCATGGTTGTGCGTGGCCTAGGATAGTTTTTTATATTCTAATACGCCCCTTAACGTACGTGCAGGCGTGACTCCTTCGAGCCTCGCACGTGAGATCTTAATTTTTTCAAAATATTGGGTGTCGGTAAATTTCGAACTTCGTGACTTCTTAGTCAACAAGACTCTAATATCATAATGTCAAGAAACCAACTCAACCAAAATTTATGGTTGTGGTTCAGGAATTTTTTTATTTTTTTATGAATAGCCAGTAATATTTCAAAACTCTACATATCAAAAGTTCATATTGGAATAAAACTTAAAACATGTTTGCTTAATTTGATTCAACACATGAAAATTTGTGTAATTAAATACTCCCTTCGTCCAATAAGGTATCCCACTTGAACCCAGTAAAAAATTTAAAAAAAAATGTAAATGTGGGTGTAAAAGAGACGAATTTGGAGAAAAAAGGAAAAGAAATAATTATTGCCTAACAAATGGGGTATTTCTCATTGACTTCACATGACATTCAGAGAACTATATATAGTAACTTATATTACCAACATACATCTATAGTATATTCTACATGATTGGAATTTGGAAGGATATCAGAGAGAGATAATTTACAGGAAAGCTCCACGTGTCCAAAGTGGTGCCCGAACTGTTATGAATTTTATCACGATCTATATTATTCTCACAGTAACGAGTTTTGTTCACAGACATGTCAAGACCCAAGAGCAAGAGACATTAATACAAATAAACCACTTCATGGGTAATAAATGATTTTTATGGACCATAATTATTTCTTTGTGCAGCATTAAGCAAGGAATAATGGACTACCAGCCTGTTTTTTAGAACTAGAAAAAAGAGCCGAGTCTTAGAAAAAACTACAAGAAACTGGAAGGAACTAGAAGAAACTGGAAGAGTTGGAAGAAACTGGAAGGAACATGAAGGAACTGGAAGAAACTGGAAAAAATTTATTGAATTATGATTTCAACTCAAAGGAAATAATTGTGTACAAGGTAGTTTATATAGATGGAGATTCCTATATCAATTAGGATTCTCCAGTATGGTAATTAACTATAATAACAATCCTTCTATAACTATAACTATTACCATAGTTATCTAACATCCCCCTCAAGCTGAACGCCGTGAAATGAGAGGAAGCTTGGCGACCAATGCAGAGTAGCGCGGTGAAGAGAGAGCTTTTGTGAGATGGTCTGCAAGTTGCTCATGGGTAGGAACATACGAGACTGTCATTTGTTCAGCAATTACCTGTTCTCGAACAAAATGGCAATCAGTACCAACATGTTTCATTCGCTTGTGGAAGACAGGATTCTTTGTCAGACAGATGGTGGACTGATTATCACAAAAAAGGTGTGGAGGAGGAAGCTTAATCTATAGGATGTCAAACAAGTAGGTGAGCCACATTACTTCAGCTGCGGCAGCCGAGAGTGCTCGGTACTCGGCTTCGGTGGACGACCGGGACACGCGGCTTTGCTTCTCCGTACTCCAAGAGATCAGATTTGAGCCAAAGTATATCAAGTAATCAGTGACAGAGCGCCCATCAGTCATATCATTATCCCAATCTGAGTCAGAGTATGCCTGAATGACTTGTGGTCCACGCCGGAATATTAAACCACGATCAATGGTTCCTTTTACATAGCGGAGAATACGTTTTAAGGCCTGGAAGTCCCGCTCAGTGGTGCATGCATACGTTGACAAACATAATTCACAACAAATTGAATATCTGGTCGTGTGTTGGTTAAATATTGAAGAGATCCAACTAGGCTGCGGAAGAATGTAGGATTGTCAAACGGGGGACTCTCCCCCTTGTCGGTCGGCCGAACAGGCAGTGGCGTAGGGGCTGTTTTGCAGTCGTCGACGCCGGCTTTATAAAGCAATTCACGTGCATATTTCTCTTGAGACAGAATCAGATAATCCTTGTTGCGCGTCACCTCAAGTCCCAAAAAATAGTGAAGAGGGCCAAGATTCTTCATTTGAAGCTCTTGTTGCATAGCATGAATGAATGAAGAAATAAGGGAGTAGGCGCTACCAGTAACAATGATGTCATCAACATAGAGTAGAACAATCAGAACACCAGAGGGAGAATGCTTAACAAAGAAGCTTGTGTCATGTTCATTTTTCCCAAAGCCATAGTCAGTAAGGAAGCCGGAGAGACGTTAATACCAAGCTCTCGGTGCCTGTTTCAAACCATACAAGGATTTCTGGAGTTTACACACATGATGAGGGTAGCGCTCATCAATATATCCTGGAGGCTGCTTCACATAAATCTCATCAGGAATAACACCGTGAAGAAAGGCATTGGAGACATCTAACTGATGAAGAGGCCAGTTCGCATTAACAGCAAGAGAGAGAACCAAGCGAATAGTCTGCTGTTTAACAACTAGGCTGAAAGTCTCAGAGTAATCCAAGCCATTCTCCTGCGTATACCCCTTTGCCACTAGACGTGCTTTGTACCTGGAAACAGAGCCATCAGAGTTATGTTTAATTTTATAAATCCACTTACACCCAATAGGAACACGATCTGAAGGTGCCGGAACAAGATCCCACGTGTGTTGACTAATCAAGGCATTATATTCTTCATCCATGGCCTGACACCAATAGCTATTCTGGGAGGCTTCCTTATATGTAACCGGCTCTGTGGTAGGTGGGGAAGAGGGCTGAGTGAAGGTGGAGAAAAGCTTGGGTTTGAAAATGCCACTCCGTGCACGAGTTGTCATCGGGTGGCGTATGGGTGGTGGTGGAGGTGGAGAGGGGATAGGTGACGATTCGGGACTA